CTTTTTGTTACATAAAGATTCTGCTACACAGAATTTACCTAACACATGGGAAGAGGGAAAACAATGTCCGTAATGAAGCTTTGGCTCTTCAACAAACATGAGTAAATTCCAGTGGATTGCCATTGTCTGTTTCCAGCCATGGCATATGCTGTGATGAAAGACTGTGCAAAAATGGAACCCAATGCAGTACCATCTGCTTGACAGTTTCCTGCAGTGGTTTGTTTTTCTCTTGTGGACACCGGTCAGTGCTCAAATAAAATAGTGACAGTCATTAGCTAACTAATCCAAACAGTTCAGGGAACATGTATCTCTAGGGAATGGTAAAATAACTGAAAAGCAGGGCTTCAGATTTAACAGCTTTGCTAATTGGTTTGCAAATGGAAATGTCTGAGAGTTAAACACTGTTGGTGCAAGAACTCCCAGAAGTTAATTAAAAAATATTTGCCTCTTGCTGATATAAGACCAAAGGTAGCTGCAAGACAGGTTGGTGTCTTTACTTTTCCTCTCCTCCTGTTGATTTGATTGTATGTAAGTATCTCTTTGTGATTGTTGTCTTCTTTTTGTCCAACATCTCTCCCCCCCCCCATAAACTGTCATGTACATTAAGCTTAATTGGTTTGAGAGGCCATTTCTCACTAAAATAGTCCCACTAATCTATCCCCTTGTGTTCTAAGGATGTTTAGCAAGGTTTTAAGAGGACGAGATGGTTGGATAGTATTCTCGAAGCTACCAGCATGAGTTTGACCAAACTGCGGGAGGCAGTGGAAGACAGGAGTGCCTGGCGTGCTCTGGTCCATGGGGTCACAAAGAGTTGGACATGACTAAACGACTAAACAACAACAACAAGTTTCATGTCCCCTGGACTTTGGAGAAGGAAATCCAAAATTCCCCACTTTCTAAATATTTTTAGATTATTGATCTCACTGACGCTGGAAAAAACAACTTTCCTAAGGTGAAAAGTGAACAGTCTTCTGAGAAACTGCATCTCATATGCTTTACCTATAAATGAGTGGATTCCTCCAGAGGAATGCAAAACACTGATAATAAAATCATTGTTGCAGTACGAACAGATCTGGTGGCAATGTAAAACATTTCACAGAGTGCGAGTGATATTTACTTCCGTTGAATATAAATCCTGCATTTTAAATACAGAAGCTTCTGTTGAGTCAGAGTCTGATTCTGCTGTAATACCGAATCAGCTTTATACTGCTGCATCTCCACAGGAATTGTTAATGAAGATAAATTTATGGTGGCTATGAAACGTTATTGTATAATCAATACAGATTAAACAGAGCCAGTCTTGAACTAAATAGTTGATAAGTAATTTACCTGAAAAGGGGTGGGGTCAATGATCCACATCTAGATGCAAAAATCAAATTTATAATCCTATTACCATTTGCCCTGAAATGAAAGCGAAGGCAAATGCTTTAGAAAAGGGACCATTATGTTACTTATTTCCTCAAGGTACCAAGAACCTGAAATGAAGTTATTGCAAAATAATGTTTCAATGGCATTCGAGTTCCATTTAAATAAATACTAGAGATGCAATTTTGCTATACCTTTCTCTTTCCAATTTTATTTAATGTCTGTGGAACTGTAGGGGTTGTGTCTAAATCTTTAAAATATTTCAAAATATGACAGGATACGCTTTACTCTACAATCCCATGGGAATCCTGCTATTCAGCTGCTTACACTACAATTATGTATGTGTCTACTCAGAAGTAAGCCCCTTTGAATTCACTGAGACTTAGGTGTATAAAGAAAGCAAATATGAAATTGGTGTGAAAATATTAGACATGGTAAGGATGGAAGTGGTATATGGTATGTTGGGGAAATTCCAAATTGCCAGCAGCAAATGGTTGGCTATTGAGACTGCAGAAAATGATCGATGGTATAACATTAACAAATGTTATATGTATATGTAAAGGCTCTCAAAATCTGAACCACATTTCTGATTTTTTTGGTCTTATCTTAATTGTTTCAGTATTGACTTGTGAAACATACAGTGCAATCCTAAGCATGTCTACTCAGAAGTAAGCCCTAGTGAATTCCCTGAGTATTACTCCCAGGCTGGTGGGTTTAGGACTACAGCCTCATTCAGTACATTGCCTTAGGAAAATAACTTGATTAGCTGTAGCTTTCTTGCATTTAAAAAAGCAGGAAAGAAAACCAAGAAAATAGATTCCATTTTGTCAGTGTGTGCAGCCCAACCACAGTTATTTGAATAACCAAAGGATTTGGACAATGGCCCAATAACTGGATTTTCAAATAGATGAGAATCCCATAGAGCTATAGTTGCATTGGCATGCACTTCATAGCCACAATTGGATAATTCGGACTTTCAGGTGAAAATGATGTTGTATAAGGAGTCTATTCTTTAATTCTGCACCTACCTGGGGGGGTTAAGTCTAATTGAAACCAAGGGGAAATATTACTGAGTAGACATGCATAGGATTGTGTTGCAAGTTTAATTGATGATAGATGATACAATTCGGCATTTATTGTTATGTAACTCGCATCTTCTGGAAGACCCGCTCCCTGCCTTGAAGACTTTCCATCACCTGGCCTGGAAGGGCCCAGTTGCCAAAGCTGAGGCTGCTGAAAAGGCCAGAGACCACCTTGACTGGCTCTTGGCTGCAGACCCAGGTCACTGAGCCTGAATTTCCACAGCCACCATCTGCCATGAACCACTATTGGTAGGATTGGCAGCAACAGCAGCAGTGAAAGTGCACTACCTAATGAAAGTGCCGCATTTCCCAACCAACAATATATTGCAGTGTTAGCGCTTTGAAAAAGTGATGATTGTGAAACAGAGAGGAAAACCTGATGCGACATTAAATGTGTCCTTGAGTTTAAGGTGCAGAGTTTATAAAATGCAAATTACATCAGCAGTGAAGGGAGTGCTGATTATTAACAGGATCAATGAAGATTTGCCCTGATGTAAATAAGAGGAGGATTGTATTAGGATTATATTCCCTTTCCACACCAGCTATAGTTATCACCCCCTCCCAAGATGATGCACATTAGATGCAATTGGGTGCTGAGTGCTTTCTCCCCCTTCAGGGATCATATCTGGATCCTGTGGAACAACTGTGCCTTTTATTTGGCTTTGTTTTATTATCTGGAAACTATATACCTCAATATAGTTGCCTTAAACCAAGTCATCAACTTCAGATAAGTTAATTTGAAGCTTGCAATCTTTTACTGCACTCCATATCGGTTCCCTGTCAGTTGCAAATCCATTTTGAGTGCTAATTTCCTTCGTCAGAAGCTTGCTGTTTATTTAATTCCTTTGTCAAACATGGATTTGCTTCATGCAGATCCATAAAATTAATAGATTAAACGCATGCACCTTTACTTCATGTTTATAGTTTTCTGTTTTTTATTCCAAATTATCTATTGCTTCCTCTACAGTAATCTAAATATATTCAGTTAGCGTGAATTAATCAGCAATGTTACTCTGCAGGGCGAATGAATCCCAGGATAATTTAGGCACATCTCCTAATTCACAGTCTTAAATCACCCACAGGTCTTGTTGTAAATTCAGAGCTTGACGTAGACTCTGCTGTCACTCACCTTTGTCAACCAGATAATGACAGCCCTGCTGTTCACATTATTGCTTATATCATTGTAAAAGAGAGTTCCTTCCAAAATCCTTTCTGTACGTATGAAAAGGGATAAAGCATCACTGGATTTCTCAGCTTGCTACAAGGGCTAAACACTACGGTTGTTGGTTGGGGGCTAAACACCCATTTGCATCTTGTAGCATCTCAGACATGCTGTGTGAAAGGTGGGGAGGGTGCAGTAGGACTAAAAGATCTCTAAGATCTTTTTCAGTCCTCTGGTCCTCTGATTCTACTCACACGCCGCAAAATGATGTGGTAAAGTGAGAACTCTGAGGTTGTAGAGTGGATGGAATTCAATTCTAGGCTGAATGCTATCATACATTTTTTAAAAAACCACACACACAACATTTCTCTCAGACTGCAAATAGAAAACAGCACACATGGGTGTAGACTCGGCTAGAACCTTTGTCCCCGATGTGCTAGATTTCTGGAGTTCGTTTTTAACATTTTGGAGTTTGTATCGGGAGGTTTTTAATGCTTGAGGGTTTTATTATGTTTTTATATGTATTGTAAGCCACCCAGAGTGGCTGGGGAAATCCAGCCAGATGGGTTGGGTATAAATAAAACAACAACAACAACAACATGGAGCTTTTAATTGGAGGGGGATCATTTAAAAATGGTAGCCCTCTCTTACAATCTGAAGTGGTCCCAACTCTCCACCCTATGAGTTCAGAATTCCACCCCCTCATTCTGCTTATAGGTCCAGGCCTGACCAATTTGCACCACCAATCAGACCTAAGCAGATCCCATAAGCATCCTAAAGAGAAGGAGGGGCATTGCAGCTGATAACCTTGCCGATGCCATCCTCTAACGCCTTTTACGCAGTTTTTCCTAGACAATGCAAGGGTTCGTCTGAATGCCTAAACGTGCCTTCTGCTGATATCTCATTGTTGTCCTTCCACTTTGATGTCCCCAGCTTTAGAAGGATCCCCGAAGCCTTTGAAAGGAAAGAGAAGAAGGGGGGGGTGTCCTCAATGAACGCCTTCTTGTTTCCATTCTCGCTTCTATTGCTTGAATGCTGAATGAAGGAAGCCACAGTGTGATGTTGTTTTGGGTGTAGGTGGGATTTAATGGTCTGCGAATATACTTTTTTTAAAAAAAAGTCAAGGAACAAAGGCACGATGAAGGGACAGATGGCAAACAATAAAACCCATTCCCCTTCATTAGAGATGCAAGTTTGTGCAGATCTGTGCCAGCTGCATTTTTCAAACTTATCCCCTGCTGTTTGAAGGATCGTGGGTCTCCCGGTAGTTGCTGCCTTATTAGAAAATTTCACTAGGCAGAAAAGGAGCGGCGGGGAGAGAAGTTAGGTTGATTGGGGTGGGGGTGGGGGGTTAGAAAAAAGAAGAAGAATCAGAGCCACACTGCCCCTGGCGTTGATAGTCCAGAAGGCAGCTAAATTGGGAGCAGTTGCTATTTTCAGCACCAAAGCTGTGAACAGCGTCAGGGGGAGCATGGAAGGGAGTCCTAGCCGAGGCTGGGTTGTTGCAAGAGGCTGTCGACCAGCTCGAAATAGGAGCGGAGAGATGTAGTGGTTGTGACATCCTCCTGGCAGCAAAGCCATCGAGACCCGGCTCCCTGCATCGCTGGACTTGGCGACCAGCCGATCTCCCTGCTGTGTGCGTGGATGCAGCGGCCGGGGGAAGAGGGCAAACATGCGGCACGTGAATCTTTCTCTCCATAGGAAAAAGCGTAACATCCTCCCTGGAGGCGGCTCCCCAAAGCAAGGCACTCTACGCAAGCTCCGATCAAGACCACTTGAGGCTCCAGAAGATCCGTGCAGCCGGCACCAAGAATACCCTCCTCCCAGGGAGCCTAAGACCTCAAGGATGCCTCAGCTCCGTCTAAGTTTCTCACGGTTGTGATGTCCCGGTGGAGTTCACCCATCACGGAGGACCTTCCATCTTTCTGGGTCTTGTGAATCGCCTTTCGTCTAAGCTTCCCTGAACCCTTTCCCCCCTTCCCTCTGAGGTTTTCCTAAAGATTAAATGGAAAAAGAAAACTGTCTAAGGACGCAGAGCTTCTCTTGCGCTCGTCATAGTGCTATTCAAGTCCAGGTAATTTCCCCCCATTATAATAAACCTATTTTTAAAAAATTTTATGACATTTTCATACTCTAAATAATGAAGTTCATATTACTTAAGAAATTGTCAGCCCCAAATACCACTTATTTGGGAGAAAAACTAGCTTGATTCACATCTACCATGGAAGAGTTTTGAAATGGTGTTTGAGGACAGAGGCTTCCATTCAGCTCTCTGTCGAGTGCTTGGTAGCCTTTATATATAGACTATATATATAGACAGTGCTGATCATAATAAAGAAGGGAAGGGGGGGAGGGACAACTAATCAGCCAATTATCTGAAAATACAATGTGTTTGCTTTACATCTGATGTCTCAGCACCAGCAGTCCCAATCCACAGGTTGAAAGGTCGCTGAAAACCAGTTGATATTCTTCCCATTTAGACTAAAATGGAAGAGGTGTCCCTTAGATACGCAACTTCCTAGCAGCTTGTTGCTGTCTATTAATTCAACCCATTTCCTGCAAGCTGGAGAGCATTTGAAAAATCCCGTAATTTGAGTCTTCTTTTGTGGAGTTATAACAGGGAATGATTGCTTGCTGCTTGAGCTTTTCTTTTGAATAGCTATGTAATATTTTTCAGTTCTTGGGTGAGCCTCTATTTTTCCATTACATTTCCATTACAAAATACCGCACTTATTCAGTTTGCAGGTTTTCTTAAAATATATGTCTGAGAAATACACTCACAAAGAAAGTAGACACCTCTCATGCGTAAAACACTTCAGTAATCTCTCTATAAAACATGTACTTCAGTTTTCTATTGCCACCCCCCCTTCACCTTGAGGGTAAACTTGTAATTCATTAAACTGGAGATTACAGCTAATTGATTTACCAGTAACGGAACCCACTTATAGTGGACCATCCTATGCTTAGAAATTATTATATGAGATTTTGGTTACAGGATGGAATCACTCTAACCATGCACAGGATTCTATAAACTGACAAATCAATATGTACCCCAGGTCCTGCTCTAAACCTCAATCAAGTGAATGAAAATTGGAGGATAGAATCAATGTACTAGATGTGGCCATTCAAAGTTTCTTTAATCAAGCAGTTTTAAGTTGTTTAATTTAAATGTTTAATGCTTTTCAAAACAAGCCTTCTGGTGCATCACTAGCATGCTCTGTTCTTGGCTCTACCAAAGTCAGATTTCCAGTTTTGGTAGGACAGAGGCTGTGCACATTTCTGCAGCAGGGATTAGAGGACATCTAACATTAGATCTCCCACCCTGAGGTCAGAGCTCACTTCCAGGGGCCAGTAAGTGTTGGTGCAGTATATGTTCAAAATGTCCGATATGTAGATGTTTGGACTGTTATTCATAAGTTCAGATAAGGAGTGAAGGGATTCCTTATTTCAGGTGAAGTTCTTTTGGCATTCCCTGATAATACTGAGTTGGCTGGTCTTCCAAGATTGATAGAGTGCTTCACAAGTTTAAAGTACTCTCATAGCATACTGTCAACATAGAATACCTGTGTGCTCAGAAATCTGCATTGGTTGCCAATTTGCTACCAGGCCAGGTTCATGGTGTCATTATTAGTATATAAAGCCCTTAACAACTTGGGACCACTTTACCTACCCAAGTAGGCCTTACCCCATATATGATAATTTGACCACTTTTATTGGCAGAAGTGGCATTACTACAGGTGCTACAAAATACCCATTCTGCATTTGTAAGTACTTGATATTTCAGTGTGGTGGCCCCTACACTTTGGAACTCCCTGCCTATTAAGATCAGGCAGGGGCCTTCACTGTATTCTACTCGGCACCTGCTAAAGACATTCTTGTCTAGACAAGACTACCCAGGTGCTTAGAAATTAGATGCGAATTTTAATCTTTTTGTATGTTTTAAAATATTGTACTTTTTCTTGATTTTCTTGTTTTATCTTTTCGTAAACCACTTTGAGGGTTTTGGGGGTTTTTACAATCAAGCAGTATATAAAATTTTATAAAATATGCCATTCCAGTGCTTTATCTGACTCTAAAGATTGTTAGTTAAAGTCAACAGCAGCCAAAGCCATGAACGCTCTATGGTATTCTGTAAACTATTTAAAGTTTTCACTCTCCCTGCATAAATAGTCCCCTCTATGAACTGATGCAGGGCAGTTCCATACAGAAAAATGAAATGTACTCTGAAGTACGCATGTTGCAACTCATTATCGAGGCCATGCTTTCAGGCCACATCACACATGCTACATCTCCTAAATTGATTCAAGATCGAGACTCCAACCCTTCTGCTCACCATATGGAGCTTGTGCCAATTGCTCAAGAGTTCTATATCATCAGCTCAGGGGCTAGGTCAATTATCTGTGACACAGATACAGCTTAAGCCTTTCTGATTTCACATAAAATTCCCCAAATGTCAGTCTGTAGCATATCAGCAGCCATTAGATTTTAGAAACACTGATTGACAACGAATCTGGAGAAGTAGCAGTGTGATCCCGTGTATGCCTACTCAGAAGTAAGATTCATGGACCTCAATGAAGCTTACTCTCAGGAAAGTATATCTGGTCTCTCTGATTTAAATGAAGTTGACTTTCTGGTAAGTTTAAATAAGAATGTACCCTTAAACTTTGTGACATGGAATAAGATTAAGTGAAAAAGATATTAAAGGCAGCTAGCAGTTTTTTTCTAGGCAGTTACAGCTAAAGTACAGATGCAAAGTATCTCCCTTGGAAAGAAAATGCAAAGATAAATCTTTACGGAAGTTATTATTATTTTAATTTATTTTATTTCAAAAGATTTCCATACCACCTCTCAATTAATAAGAATTTCTCAGTCCAGTTTACAACAACAGAATGAAATAACAACTGAAACATTGTGCATGGAAAAAGAAACATTAAAAAGCTGGGGGAAATGAAAATGCACATAAAACAAAACAGCACAGGTTATATTACTCTGGTTTCTCTTTGGATTGTATAACAGCACAGGCACAAGCAGGGTGCCACCACTGTGAAAGCCCTGTTTCCAGTCACCATGCACATCACCTCACAGAGCAGGAGCCTCCAGAGAAGGGCCTCTGAATATAAATGCAGAGGTAGCTAACCTACCATTCCCATCACCCCTGCCCATTGGCAATGTTAACTAGGGCTGATGGTCACACCTAGAAGACCACAAATTGACCACCCCTGTCTTAACCTATGGGCAGGTTGATGTGGCAGAAGGTGAAGGTTGCATCCTTTAATGTAAGCTGCCTCAAGCCCATGTGGAGTTGATGGGATAACATATATTAGATGATACTATTTTAAGAACTTAAGACTTGTCTTGCTTGATCAGTCCAAAAGTATCTCTATTCTAGCAACAGTAGCCAGTCAAATTCCATTGATGGCTTACAAGCAAAGCAATGGCCTTCCTCTGAGGCTTGTCCGTAATGGCTGTTATGCAGGTATCTACAGCTTCTGAACATAGAGGTCCTATGAAGGGATCATTCCCGCCCCCACCACACAGACATTTGCTTCAGGTTGCATGTGGTTACTCTTCAGGGGATACTTCTATATCCAAATACCTTACTGGTTCTACAACCAGGGGCTGGAATCCTTTACTCAACTATGTGGCAAAATCCTACTGAACGCAGTGGGAATTACCTCTGAGTAGACATGCCTATGATTGCGTTGTGACTCTTTTAATATACAAATAAATGTGTGAAATGCACGCTAAAGGTACAAATCCCTCCTTTCTCAAAAAGATGGCCTTTTCACTTTCTTGCTATCATGACATAATAAAAAGTAACTACAAGGGCTCTTAAAATATATTGCATTTTTTAAATCTATATTGAGTATATCAATGAGGCTGTAGAATCGTGCTGTAAAACAGGCCCCATTCATGAAATCTTCTCCCAGTAAGATTGAAAAGACGCAGTGCTAATTATTCTTCAGCCTCATAATATCCGGGGCAGAAATTGAGCTAATGCGGGTGGCTCCTTTCCAATCCCTCAGGTAAGGGGGATAATTTTTTGAAATAAGTCACATATTGGAACAGTGTGATTCAAAATGAGAAAAAAACATGAAATGCTTTGAAGCAGGAATTGCTAGCAACAAGAAGACATTTCTGCATTGCAGAAATAAAAGTCATTTGAACACACACACACACACACACACACACACCACATACATCCCAGGCTTTTTGATTGGGACATTTGATCAGTTGCTGAGGAACTTGACCAGGAGAATGCCATTGCATTCATTTTCTACTTGAGGGCTTCACATGACTTCTGATTGCCTCTATGGGAAATAGTGAAGGGCCTTGGCTCAGTGGTAGGGCATCTGCTTTGGATACAGGTCTTAGGTTCAGTCCCTGGCATATTCAGGGTACACAGGGTGAGACCCTTATCTGAAACCCTGGAGAGCTTCTTACAGTCAGTGTAAGACAATACAGAACTAGATGAACCATTTGTCGGACTCAGTAGAAAGCAGCTTTCTATGTTCCTATGTAAATGGGATGCTGAACTCTGGTCTGTTGGTGTGATCCAGCATGGCTGTTTTTAAGTGAGGTCCTGAGTATGTACAGCTGTATGTTCATGTGCTCCTCCTTTCATACAATGTGTCAGATATGCAGGTTACCAGTGGAATCAGGGGAGGAACCAGAATGGGCAGTCTCATTCCACACTTCACATGTTTAGTCTCCAGTTAACTGTTTATAAAGGACTTATGATGCAGAATCTCTCTCTCTCTTGTGTGTGTGTGTGTGTGTGCGCACGCGCATGTGAAATCCTGTATTTGCAAGGGCTTCACTGTGGTGTAGCATCTTTTGTGCACGCAAAGACATATTGTAAGCTGTGTGGTGTACCTGCCAGTGGGGACTGAGCCACCTAGGGCTGAAGCTGGAGTGACACCATAACACTCGTTCCCAAGTGTCCCGCTTTGCTCCTGCTCTGTTGCAATAAATGACAGCCATTCATTGACATGGGAGAAGGTGGAAGTGTGTATTTCAGGGCACCAGTTGGGTAAGGAGGGAGCTAAACCAGCCAGCTGATTCTAGTGATCC